TCGTAAAGATAGAATGGAGATACATCGGGCTAACAAACATTGCTTCATCACCGTCATTTGTACCGAAAAATATCACGGAGAATAATGGAAATGTTTGCGCGACGGATATTTAGTTGCACAAACGTTACGTCAGTAGGATTATATCATATTTTCTTGCTCGTGACAGCTCTTTGATGTTTGTCATAGAGGGAAGTTATGCGCTTTCTCGAGCTACTTCACATGACATACAAATATGCGTATGATACACAATAGTTCTTGAAAAGCAAACATCTCAACATTTCTGTTAATAATGTTATATATGTTTCCTTTATGTATTTTTTTTTATTTGAATCAAAATATATATTTTATCGTATTTATTATCACATAAGTAGAAGAGTGAGAAATATTTTTTTGCTCCGAAAATATTTCTGGAAAATCTATAAATCGATAATTCGGGTCTCTCGGTTCCCTCTTTTATATGCATGTGAATTTATTTCTAATTTTAAATCTAAAGAAAAGTTCTTAAATTGATCAGCTTTTGTAAAATGTAATCTTGAATATAAAATGAATTTCTGTCATTATGTATCACGATATTTATGTCTCTTGTGTGTTCTTGCATTTTGTAAATTATATTAGGTATTGTCTTATGAGTTTTGTAGAAAATGATTCCCAATTCTTAAGAATTATTTTGTAAAAGAATTAAATAATTGAAAGAGTAAATTTTAATGTCAAAAAAAGAAAATAAAAAAATAGAGAATATAAGAAGATCAAGAGAAATGGAATATTATTACGATACAATATTTACAATTTCGACTCACTACGAGCATAGTATTTACATATGGGGAATAATTGGCGGCATTTTCTCATTATGATATTCAATATAAGAATATCCAAAAATTAGAATCAAAATTTCTCGATAGGAAGACTGATGAATTATTTTTAAAAATGTTAAACGAAATAGATAAAGACATCAAATATTACGTTATAATATAAAAATTGATACATATATTCGATTATTAATTAAAAAGCATGGAAGGAAACTATGAGAAATATAATAAAGATGTAAAATAATAATCAGGATAGAACTATATACGAAATCTGTTCTTAATGCGATACTATATTTTGTGAGTTTTGCAAAGTAATAATAGATATTATATTTGACATAGAAAATAGTCATTCATGTTGTAAAATATGAATGAAGAGAGATATGAGATTATGATCGAAAAACTGATTTTGATAACATGAAGAGTATCTCCTATTTTCATATTTTAAATATGATCATATTTTACGAACATTGATCAATTTTGAACAACTTTTTCCCAAGAGATTTAAATTTTTATATTATTAGAAATGAATTCACATATGCATATAATGAATTCAAAACATATTAGAACGGATTCTGAAAGAGCAAAAATTTGCTAACACATTTCATTCTACATTTTATTGATACAAAATTGTGTAAAATTAAAGTTATATTATAATAGTAATTAAATGTTTCTTTATTCATAATTATATACATGTATGCAAATATAATAATTCGATGACTCTGTATCTCCTTCATGTCAATCGTAACATATTTCTAACAAGCAAAGTAATAAACGCGGAGAGAAATAAGAAAAATATATGATAAAAATTCCTTCAACTTTCTAGCGTAAATTTCTGGATCCGTAACTCGAATATTGTGCAAATAAAATGCTCAACGTGGGAGAAAACGCGATCATGCGCGAAATACGGGTGTGAACGCTGCATTTTCGGCAGAGTCGAATTGCAGAGTGCGAAACGCAGTGTCGCGATAGCGATTCCCACGCAAATTTTCTACTAACGAAGCAAAAGTTCGTTAGCATCGACCGCAGGTCACCGAGCTTTCCGCGACTAAATTTTCGCCACGCTGGGACAGCTGGGAGGAAGTCGCTCGCGCCGGAGAAGCGAGAGCATCATCCGGTATCGTTTGCATTAAGGGTGCGGAAGACAAAGGTGGCAGAGCCGGACGGGAGGAAGAGAGAGAGAGAGAGAGAAGAGAGGATGAAGTTGGGAGATGGCGCGTACATAAACGCGACATAGCAGACGATGCAGCGATGCACGGCGACGTAAACCTTTGCGGGAGAGGACGGGGGTTAGACGCAGGTGCAACGGTGCCCGGGAAACACAACACAGGAAGCGTAGTCGCGCATAAACGTCCCGTTCGTGTGTACGCGTTTACGGCCGCGCGTGGTCCGCGCATATACATACATGTGCGATCGGTATCGGGGGTGTCGCATCGCATTCTCTCTCGACCCGGCTCCAGGTTATCAAACTGCCGTTTTCATGCATAATGCACCGATTTCTCCGCAAGTGTCTCTCTGACCCCTCCCAGTCTATCTTTCTCCCTCTCTTCTCTCCGGTCTTTATATCTCGTTGGATCCCCTTCTTCCGCTTCCTCCTCACCCTCGATTAGAATTTTCGTCGATCGCTGGGAAACAAGGTTCCGGAATTCCGGGGACAAAGCTGGGGAAGTGCTGCCATCAGCTGTACCAAGATCCTCTACCAGATTTCCTCGAGAGCCTCGGACAGTCATCGCGATGCGGGTGAGCGGAAGGGAGGTGAAGGAGGAATGGAATGGGAAAATGTATGGCGATCGCACGGGGAAAGGACGAAATGGCCCAAACGGCACAGGTCAACGCAAATCGAGTAACGATTTCGACGGATTTTAACGGATTCTCCATTCCGCGTATATTTATGATTGAAAAAAAATCGCTCTTCGAGCGATAAAACGTTATCTCTTGTAACGCAGACTCGGATTTGAAGTCAAAATCATTTCAACGAAATCTCGGATTTCTACTAGCGGATTCTAAATATTTTACCCTTACACTTAATTAAAAATGCTATTATTACTAGCAATTTTTTAAAGCAAGTTTATTCAAAATTAGACATTTTTTAGAAATTTTGCTTTGTTCTTGGGAAAATCGCAAAAAGAAAACAACAAAGCTTTCATTTTTTATTTATTTATTTATTTATTCATCACTTATTTAATGGAGGTATTGTTCAGAATGTTAACCTTTTGCAACAATGCAAGCATTGTATCTAGCACTGACAGCTTGTATTGCAGTCAAGCATTGTTCTGGTATTCCTAATGCACTGCAATCACGATTCGATTTCTCAGCCATTCTCTTGAATCGATTGGCAACGAATTTTCGAACCTAATAATTTAAATGTTACACTTTTTCGTTGAAAATTCTTTTATTTGTTTTTTTTTTGTGATTTTTTTCTTCAAAACGAATCTTTAAAGGAGTTCATCGATCCCTCATACGTTCGCAAAATTTTAAATTCGGAGCATCTTGTACAAGATGTGAAAAACTTTTTATAATTATTAAATTTTCATATTCAGTCTAGCACTGATTCTTTTTATTCAATGCGCGAATATCTGAAAAGGATCTGAAGATCATTTAAAATTCATTCACGCATCAGATTTCGTCGATGGAAATCGCAAAGGAGATCGCGTCACGGACGAGTTAATAACTTCGTTATGTTATCTTCCGGCACTCACTCCTTCGTTCAACGAGGCAGGAAACCGAAGCTAGAAGTGAAAGAGGACGTGGTGGATGCGCGCATCGCCGAGCGCGATATACGTTTTATTGCCGATGAAAAGACGGCTTGCTTGAATCCGTGGTCGTAACTGGAGCGATCAATCCGTTAGATCCCTCTTCCGCAGCATTTTTATTCCCGATACTTCCGAGAGAGAAATCTTTCTGTCGGAAGAGTCGACGACCCGCAATCCCCGTGCCTTTTAACATAATATGAAAATCGCGTGATTTCCTTTTTTTTCTATTTTTTATCGTGCCAATATTATCTCGAGCGAATGTCGGTGTCTTTTATGGCTGCAATTTCATCTCTCATCTTATTGATACCTTGAGAAATTCTGCAGTAAGAATGTATAATCCACTGCTTTTAGGTTCTTCGCAAAAAAATTCAAGAAAAAAATTGACGTTTAAAATAAATTTCTCTATCTTTATATTTTTGTAATTTCTCTATCTTTATATTTTTATAATTTCTCTATCTTTATATTTTTATAGAAACAACTTTAGAGACTTTTCGTTATAAATAAGGGAAGAAGTGTTCGCGGAAAATCAAGTTGGATAAAAGTGAAATATACAGTCGATTCAGAGAAGCATTTATGCGTGCATTCTTTATGCGATATATAATACTCCTTGCATCAAGGATGGGCTATCAAATGCATTGTCATTCGATATACGATGCAGATGGAGAAACGATCGAGTCAACATTATTGCTCCATCTCGAATGAATGATTTCTTGAAGCGTGTGCATTTTTTCAATCCGTGGCATCCATTCAGATGCGTTTTCCGCCGTAATGCTACGCACACTGCATTCCTTGTCGCTGTAAATCACGTTTTGTGTATCTTACAGTCAGGACTCCCTACTCCAAATACGTTCTGAATATACTATTGCATAAACCGTCTGGGCTTCGTGGCAGAGATCTTCTTGTCTCTAAGCTGCGGAAAAATTGGCAGAGATTTATGGGAAATTGTTTCGTTGCGCGTGCATGAGAAAGAGAGAAAGAGAGAGAGAGAGAAAGAGAAAGGGGAAGGTGGGAGGGAGTTAGACTTGCTGTTGCTCCGAAAACTATGGATTATTCCTGCAGCGAGCGCACGATCTCGAGGTGCATCCCTCTGTGAAAATAAAATCTTGCGACTGAAAACACAGGCAACCGCACTGCTTTACTACTCTTAATGCATATTTTTATTTAAAAAATTCAATAGAAAATACATCTAATGTAAATATCGAATTAAAATTCTGAAGAAGAGTGAGGGAGGTCAATTTAAAAATGTGAACGAATGCTTTTAATTTATTTTTTCCAGGACGATTTTAAAAATATCTTTGAAAAATCTATTGTTGTAGCCTCGACATTCTTAAAAAAACTTGATTTACATAAATTTAACATAATATTCAGATCAGCAGTGATTTGGTTGTTTTCAAGGGAAAACCGCTTTTCTCTAACCCCATGCTTTCCTCTTTCTGTTTCGCAGGACGAGGGGTGGTGCTGGACAGTCAAGGGCCGGTGCTGGTCTCGGAACCGCGCTCGAGCGTGGAGTTTTCGAACGACACCGGGGCGATGATCCACTGCTCGGCCCACGGCAGTCCTTCGCCGAGGATCGACTGGCTGATGGGCGACGGCTCGCCGGTCCTGCCGATACCGCACATCCGTGAGATGCTGGTGAACGGCTCCATGTACTTCTTGCCGTTCGGTGCCGAGAGCTACCGACACGATGTGCACTCAGCCGTCTATCGGTGTCAGGCGTCGAACAGCGTCGGCAAAGTGCTTGGCCGTGAAATCACGGTGAAGGCCGGTAAGAGAAAGAAAAGGAGAGAGAGAGAGAGAGAGAGAGAGAGAGAGAGAGAGAGAGAGCCATCTTTATTTCTTCCTAGCTTTCCTCGTCTCGTCTCGTGACCGCCTACCCTCTTCCAGCCGATTGATCTTTCATCGTCCCTTAAAGCCTGCTCGCCATCCAGTGGAAAAAGACAAAGACTATCGCACGATGATAGTGTGATATGTAACTTTACGAGTAGGCTCCGGTATAGACCTTGAATTTTTCTCTCAAGTCAAGAATCACCGCTAAGTTTATCGATCAGTCGCGATTCAAGTACGTTTGTATAGTTTTATTTTTGATGTCGAATAATTAACTTCTGATTAAATTTTTGATCAGTCCCTTTTTGACAAAGAAACTTTAAATTTTGTCGATGACGAAATTTTGAATCGTGCAAATTTCTGTACAATCTGAAAAAGGAGTATCTCTCCTGCGATTTTGCAATTTTTGAAAGTTAAAAATTGTCTTTTCGTGCCGTTGAACCTCACATTCTCGTCACAAAAGGACGACCTGGACCAAATAATGCAGGAGATAGCAGAAATACTCGGCATGTTACAATTACATAGACATAAAGTTTCGCGACGGACACATAACTTCTCGAAAGCATCAAAGTTTTGCGCGCCTCTCTCGCAAACACGTCGTAATTTAAAAATCCTAGATTCATCCAGAGGAAATAAATATATTGTACAACCGCGAGAATTCACACTTTGAAATCTCGATTAAGACTCGTTAGGTATTTCCTAAAAAAAGCTCAAGCATTGCAAATGATGCTTAAAGTGATAATTTAATTGCACCTCAATTTCAACTGACTAATTGTACTATTCTCGAAATTTGCAAACGTCTTTAAAATTTAATCGAATTTTAATTTATTAATGGTTCTTCTGACTTCATTCTTTATTTTATTCTTTATTTTAGGGATGCTACATTAACAATTAATGTAGGACTTTTTGAAATCCTTACTAATTCGATTTCTTTTAATTTATTATTTATTATTTATTATTTATTACATATACTCTCTTAAATAGAATCAGTGCATTATTAATGTATTATGTTATACATATTTAATTGAAACAGCTTATAGCTTTTATTATATGAGCATTACAAACATTGAAAGAATTAGTTAATAATGACTGTTTTGATCAGTAATATTTTAAACTAATACTTTCAATTGTCTCTCTTATATATATATTATAATATATAAAATTCGTAACAATTTTCTTTAAAAAAATATTTGAATTTCTATTAAGAGTCTTGTTCATGTTTTTGTAGATTTATCATCTTAAGAATAAAGATGTGTAAGATGTGTAATATGTATATAATTTTAAATTTGAATATCAGTTCTACGAAATCCTGTAATTGAAACGTAAAACAAAAGTAAAATGTAAATGTTTTCGTTAAAGATTAATGAAATATTAATTTATCTTTAATAAAATTTTGTCATGTTTGCTGATTCAAAGGGAGTATATTGTAATCGAATCGACTTCAATATCGAGTTTATTAAAATCTTAACATCGATTCTAAAATATTGAATGTCATAAAATACCACGAGAAAAGTTCGTTTCAATTTCAAAACGTCTCATTAAAATTTATTTTTTAAATATTACATTGCTGCTTAAATTCTCTCACAACCGCGCTTGTCAAGCTTGACAATACTCGGCACATTTCACCGTAAAAATCGTCACGTAAAAATCCGTTATCTAAAATATTGTTGAAGAGTTATGTGAGTGAGTCTCTCTCAGAGATGTATTTAACGTCAATCCCGAGACAGTAAAGTGGCAGATTCACCGCGAGAAGTAAATTAAAGCTGAGCAGTCTTTTCCGCACGCCTCGAATGCCCAGTCCAATGGCGGAAAATCAACAGTCTTCAATATTATCAGATCGTGCCGTCTTTCTTGGACCTCGCCTTTGCCGAGGGTAAATGTAATCGACCGTTTCCCGAAATGACGTTTTAAACTCCTGACTATCTCGAGGGCGGCGAAGGATGATTGCGCGCTTGGTGGGCAGAGCCAAGCCAACTACATTTATCACGAGTGAGGGGATCACCCTCCTTTCGCTCTTTCCCCACCTGCTGTAATAAATAGATGACCTTAAATTCACGCTTGCTTATACCTAACCGACACTCACTGCCCATGTCAAAATTCGCGGCTTACCACGAGAGTTGTAAAGCACGATGTATTTTGCATACGCATATATATACAAAATGCTTTGAACCGATGTAAAGTGAGAATATGTGAGTTATATAATTTTAATTTAAATTACAAGAGTTTAATATGTCAGAAAACTTTTATTACAATCACAAATTATAAACATGTTGTTAAAGCATTTTGCATACGCATATGTATACAAGAAACGAGTGTAAAGTGAGAACAGGTGAGTTAAATAATTTTCTCTGAAACGATGTAAAGTGAGAACAGATGAGTTAAATAATTTTAATTTAAATTACAAGAAAGAGTTTCGATGTGTCAGAAAAATTTTATTACAATCATAAATTATAAGCATGTTGTTAAAGCTTCTAATCCTTAAAAGAATTTGTATTGAGGTTTTTTTAAGTCGCTTAATTAAATATGAATCTAATGTCAAAATTAACAAATTCAAATTGTATACATAAATATTTTTGCGTAATTCTCAATTCCTAAGGAAGAATTATTTTCTATACATAATTATATATCCAATATAAAAAGAAAATTACGGAAAATAACTACTCTTTTTTTCGTTTATTTTAAACTATGTAATTATACATATATTAATTACGATATATTAATTAGTGAAGATATAAATTTTATTATAATTTTGTTACTAATGTATATGAAACTGAGCATCTCGGGTTTTTTATCGCGTAATTCTTTCTAATTAATCGCGCGAAATTTATCGACGAATGGAAGTAGAAACGAAAAGCGTCGTATATTTCAGTCAGATGTGAAACAAGAACCTTCCAACCGAAAGAAATCCAGCGCGCTGGGATATCTCTAAACGAATTTTGCGGATGAAAGATCGGGCGCATCCTCCCGCGTAATTTCACGAGAAATGTATCGACCGATCGACGTGGATAGACCAATCTTGTACACGAGACAAATGACCGCACGATTTCTTCGCTTTGCAGCTGTGTGCGATTTTTCCAAGAAACGCTTATCGAATTTAGCGAGTTTTTGGCTGCAAATAGGGAGAATTTATACTGGAAAATTTTTTTCCCTCTCTCGAATAGGAATTGAAAGGGATAGATTATCGTTGAATGGGGCGGACAACGGAAGATTGCAAAGGAGCTTCCGTAAAAACCACGAAGACAGATCACTAATTACTGACGCCAAGGTCTAAAGAGTAGCTGGTATTCGCGGGAACAATGGGACAGGAAAAAAGTGCCGAGCTGCGACGTTAATAATGCGTTCTTTAGCGTTGATAAAAGGCTTTCGTTAAGAATACTAATTAATAGCGCTGAATGTTACGAGTTGGTTGATGGTAGACGATAAACGGCACCTTGATACGCGTGATGTAAAATCGTATTACGCGCTGTTTAAAAAAAATTGCATCTGTGTCCATCAGCGTAAAAAAAATTTCAATAATGATATCGGTAAACCATTCAATCGGATAATTAAGTATTTTTGTTGCAGATCGTTGATTATTAATTTTGTTACTTTTTAACCGTATTAATTTGACAGTTAAATGTCAAATTAATACGGTTATATTGTGCTCTAATATGACAGTTTGAATATTACATCTGTCTTCACGATGTGTATTTTAAACATAGTATTTAAATTAAACTGTAAAATCGTATTATTTATTTAAAAAGATTGCATCTCTGTCTGTTAATAGAAAAAGAATTATCAATATAGATGGTGGAAAATACAATGCAACGTTATTGGATTATGAAATATTTTTGTTGCAGACCTCTTTTAATAATTCCGACACTTACACTAGTTTAATATAAATTTTACTCTAATTATAACAGTTTGAACATTATCTTCATGATATGAAAAATTATTTAAATTTGATCGAAAAACAAATTATTAAGTCGTCTATTTCATCCAATTTTAGACTCGTGATTCATCGACAGATGTTGAACGTAATCTGAAATAATTTAAATTTCACGAAAGAAGAAATCAATTTCAGCTTTGTCGAAGAACGTGTTTGCCACGCGAAACAGGCGACATTATTAATCATACGAACAGCAGAAACGGTCGTCTTCCGATCTCGGAAGCTCGCCGGGAAAGCAATATTCATCACTCGGATCCGACGTTGCTTACAGAAACAGCCCCAATATATCGTCGTGCGACACGTTCCATTCCCACTGTTTCCTTAAACCGTCATATTCGCTTTCCTTTCCCTCTGCTTTCCCTTTCGTCATCCTTCTCTGCGAAGATTAATCTGTATATCGTCGTAGGTCGACGTGACAAGATGGTTACGATAAAAAGCAAATTTCAGTGAAGCTCAGATACGTACACCAATCTGCTCGATATAGCCGAAATTGTCGAGAATCCGCGGGATTGGAGACAATGAATCCTGACATTACCCGTCGAAGAGAAGAGGGACTCACTTCCGGGACGGTCCTTTCCATTTTTCCGGCGGTATTATATTCCGACATCCCGTTTCAGGGCGAAATAATCTTTTCCCTCCTCTACTTCTATCTCTCCCTCTCTCGCTCTTTCTCTTTTATTTTTTATTATTCCGCGAGCCTTTGTCATGGAGAACGATAGCGGTCTATTTCTCGCTCGTTCTTTTGCTCTTCCGAGCATTCATTCCTCGCTCAAGCGACCGTAATAATTTTTCTTTTCCAGTGGTACGCCAGAAGTACGAGGTACAAGTGCGAGACGCCTATGTCCTGGCGGGCAACACCGGGGTGCTCAGGTGCGAGATACCGGCCTTCGTGAAAGAGTACGTCGCGGTCACGTCCTGGTTAAAGGACTCGGCCTTTAACATTTACCCGTCCGCGGAGAGCGGTGAGTGTGCAATTATGCTGATCGCGTGACCCACATACGAACGAAATGTCACATGTGAGCTTAAGATTATATATGTCTCTTAGTGATTGTCGCTATTTTCAGCGATAAATCGAAGCTTTATTATTGCCTTTTTTTAGCTTATTAAATGAGTATCGTTTTCTCATGTTAACTCATTCTTTATTATTTCGTGCTGTTGTTCTGAAATTTTGACAATTACTTCTATCTCATCTCACGTACCTTTTATATTTTTTTTAATTATTTCTGTCTATGAGAATTTTAGTAGATCGCTGGTAAAATAATATACATTGAATGTGATGACAAAATTTAAAAAATTGAATATCAAATATATGAGATTGGAAAAGAAATTTTAATACAACTTTATATATTAATTAAAAAATGATTTCTGAAACAAAGTTAAAATTTTTCATTGAATGTATATCGATATATTGATGAAAAAATAACGTTAAATTTTCACCGAAATTCATTTATAATTGCCGAGTTTGGAGCAAGAGCGAAACAAGTCTTTAATTTGCGACAACAATTTCCAATAATTCAACTTAGATTCAACTTTAATATTCGAAGAAAATTATATGCGCGTGCATTGAATTCTTCAACTTGTTTCTTTTTGAACGCGACTAGAAGCAAGAATAATTATTCAACATTGTAAGTAAAGCGAAATCCAATAGGAAAATATCCATCAAAAAATAAAAGGAAGGAAAGGTGTAACCCTTCCCTTGATTCGCATGCGTACCAAGCTTCCGATAAAACGCACCTGAGAGTGCCGTGTATTACGTTAATCCGGTCACAACATCCAAGTTAATTAGAGTTTCAGAGAGTGAGGTTTGAGTACGTGTACACATGCATATCCACATACACGGACACACACACACACACACACACACACAGGTGTTACGATGAAGCGTCGTTACATCTCGATCCGCGCGTCGCGAATTGCGATATCACGAAAACACCGATATCATAGATAGGCACGAGCAGAATAGCGGAAAGTAACGACGATAGCGATAAAACGCAAAGCTGCACGGGGCGTTTATTTTTTTCAGGGGGACCTTTTTTTTTATGTCGCACAGCTGCGCCTCATGGTTGATATCTCTCGATTCCGCGTCTGCTCGCATGCGAACGACATTCTTTAGATTGAAACTTTGCGGGTCACTCGTCGGCAAGCTTTTCAATTTGAAAACGTGTTTCGAGCGTTGGATTGAATTGTCAGGTTAATTGAATTAAAATGATAAATTTAATTTGACACAGCGCTGGAAATGCCTTATTAATAATTAAATGATTAAATCATCATTTTCTCTCCTTTCTAATAAGATTGAAGAAATTAGATTTGAAAGATAAGCGTCTGAAGTGAAAATTACGATAATAACAATTAATTCGAATTACCTAAATTATTCATTCCTTTTTTTTCGGTTAATATTCGCGCAATGGTAGTTTTTATTATCATACAGATTTTGTTTCCCATGAGTGCGGCGAATAAAAATTGTGGAAAAGTTTATCGGCCACCCGGACGGATTTACGGGAATGGGCGAATTCAAGCGTTTTCGCAGTTTTGTCCCCGAGGCCAGCAGAGAAGTCAAGCACCTGACGCATCGTGGAAACTTTCCCAAATTCGTTTTCCCTGCGTCATAATGGCGGGCATTGTGCGCCCGCCAACGCGCGCTCGTGCGAGATCTCTCGAGGAGGAACGAAACGTGACGCATTGTCGTCGCATTTCGATCGCGGGACTTTTCAGGCTGTCACGTGCGTGCGCGACATAAATGCACGAGAATCTTTCCTCCCTCTTTCTCGTCGAAAAACACCCCCTTTCTCCTCCCCGCTGAATTCACGCGCGCGATAAATTATCACGTCGCCGAATAAACGACCAACTTTTGGATCGCGTCGGCCCGACCTGCGCGAAAGTTTTCCGAGTGATTCGTTCTCCATTTAAAAGTGCTCTCCGCGAGTCTTGGATTTTCACCCCCTCTTCCGCTGCCTCTCTATTAGATTGGATTTTCCCCTGCGCGAGACGCGAATCGCGCATTTGATTTAATCCGTGAATTCGTCGTCTATCCGATAGACGTGAGAAACGGCCCGCTTATGAAGTTTAATCGTCTTCGGAAAGAGTCGCTCGTTCTGGCGTTCACGCGAGTTAAATTTATTCTCCGTCGTCTCTTCGCGAGATACTCTAGGAAAATTTCCAGCATTTATCGCGGGATAGTCTGCATCGATGCAGACCCCGCGATAAATGCTGGAAATTTTCGACGACAGCTTCCATAACGCGTCTTTCCACGTTTGAAGGTTCCGTTTATGCAGTTTTCAATGGTCGAAAATTATCAAAGTCTCCCTTTTCAAAGCTGATCTGTAGAGTAATTTATTATGTTTCGCCAACTCTAAACTGATGTAGCAATCATATAGATTACAGAGAATTCATAACTATGCTCGGAACTACGTTAAACTCGAAGCCATTGACTTTCGACTTCCAAAACTTCCAGACTTTACATACGAAAGATATATCGCCTTTTTACACGTAAACAGAAAGTTCGCATTTAATTTCAGAGAGTTAGGGGACGGTACGAAAAATCGAATAAATCCTTCTAATATACGTACTCGAGATATACAAATTCTATATGGAATGTTAGATAGAGAGACACGCGGGTCTGTAAAGTCTATATAACCAAAGTACAAATTATTCTCGCGAAACACTCCACTCCCTGGTTATTAGTTTCGCGTGCGCCGCGAGCGACGGATACACCGAGTGTATCGACGTTTCGGGGATCGACGTGAAGTGCCACGGATGGCCATCCGGATGCAACCAACTCCAACACGGAACGTTCCACCGCAATGCAAATTAGCTCAGGCTGCTTGTCTATGGAAACGTCGAACTATCCTCTCGCGCCGCCCCGATACGTCTCGCTTATTTGTCGTCGACCACTTCGCAAGTGCGCATTCAGTAGTTAGTATACGCGAAAGGTCAAACTCTCCTGAGCTCGAGAAATTTGCTTTTACATGTTTCGTCGTACCAATTAGCGGCATAAATATCGGAATCTGCCGCAAATATAAACGTTACATAAATATGCTGCGGAGAAATTAAACATCATCATATTTTTTCACGTAGAAATTTACAAACAATCCAACAGCGTTGGCTATCAACATCGGACCAAAAGTTAAGCATGGAAATGTAACACTATTTTGCAGTTAATTGCAACCGTTGGCAAAAACAAATATGATACAATATTTTGAATACGATTCTGAGAGTTGGATTGGTTAATGTTAATTTTATTAAAGCTCTTAAATCAATTATGGCAAAAAGATTAATTTAATCCCTTTTGCTATATATATATTTTTTCTCATGGATTTGATAAAAAGTGTTTAAATTTTACACAAATAATAACAGCGGTGAGAATATTTTGGAAGATTGTTGAAAAATCTAAATACACAGTTACAAAACATACAAAAAATCGTAAAAGTTTCACCTACAATATTACATTCTCTGCGTTAATTCAATCCTATTTCTAAAAAACCGGGATTACGATATAAAGTATGTATGGTAATATCGTCATAATATTATAAAGTATAATATTTTAAATTGTGTATGTTATGTGTCAAAACTGTCACCTTAACGTTTGCTCAACTTCGCACAGTATATATTTTATAATAAATGTAATTTATTTCAAAATTATCGGCCTGGAAGAAATTCAACTATAATGCAAATTTTTTTATCATGCCATCGACGAAATCGTTAAACCACGCTGTTTCGCAGCGTCCAAACCATGTCATTACAATATTATTAACTTTCCCCTTTTTCGCCAAGTTTCACACTTTTATTTTTTCATTTTTGTCTTTTCAATTTAATAAATGTACCCATTATATTTGCTGCACATACAAGGTGCATATTTAATAAACAACATTACTTTTTCTTTGTGAAAACATTTAATTATACTACATTAATTTACTGCGAGCAAGAGTTACGTACAGACGGATTTTTTAATAAAATAATATCTGTGTTGCACAGGAATTATAAACACAAAGCTATAGATTACGTAATTATATTACCAATTCTTTCATGTTATCTTTGGAGCTTTTTTTCTACTCTCGTGTATTTAAATTTAAATAAATAAGCACATTACGTGTAACCAGAATGAATTTTGCCAAAAATGCTAGTCTTCAAGAAAGTATCTTCCCCTTTGCACATTTTTCCTGCGCTGTCCTAAGCAGTCATGTTAGTTCTCTCTTTACTTTTATTTATCTTTCTTTGTTCATCACACTTTTATGTTTGCTGCACGATTATTCTCTGTTATACTTGCGAAGACAAGGCAGATGCTTCTGTCAACACAACAATATCATGTGCAACTGCAGATTTGCTCACATAGTTACGTCAAATTTTTGCTTTCTCGATTTAGAAAGAAAAAAATATTTATTTATTTATCCGAACACTATTATAGAAACAACGTTAAACTCGTTTATAATAATGTTTTTAAACTAAAACCTTTTTCTTTTATAATTATTTTTTAAAATATGCTTTTCTAACAATCGAGTTAAAATATAGCATAGATAAATTTATAAGAAGATAAATCAGATAATTACATCTCTTTATCCATAGTGCATATATCTTTTCAGCAGCATAATATATAATATTATTTCACGAGAGAGTACTCGACGCCTCATTCTATCGATAGAAGAACCTAAATTTTTCACGTATAAGCCGATAGAGACGACAATACCCAATCTCTTTATACGAGAATATAAGCTGCAAAAGATAGCTGAATAATACGTATAGTGATAGCAGCAATTTTTCGTTCACGGCAGTTTTACTATATCCTGAAGCCTCTTTTCAAGTAAATCAAAAATGCATCGTGGATTTTTCATTAAGTAAAATTATTTGCACTAAAAAGAGAACATTTTTTAAGAATAATCTAATGTAAAAATCAGAATATAAGAGCTCTGTTCGCTATTAACTATTAATAACGGAGATTTCGGAAAATTTCTATCATTATCTTCAAATT